CCGTAAAGAAACTTCTACAAAATGTTATTCGGACGGCAGTTTACTCCAGTAAAAGACCATGTACCACTGCAAGCTGCATTCAGGCCAAGATTTGGATCCTTGTTCACTCGGGTTACAGACCGTAAGAATGTGCAACCAAACTTCTAGGTTGCGATCTCAAGATCAAGTACCAGTCCACTACAGTTTTGGGACAAGCAGATGAATTATAAAGATCAAAAGGCTTCGAACGAAAACTTCGGGAGATATTCATAGCAGACATAAGAGCTGAAAAATTTTGCGGCGTATTGGATGATGCAGTTGATGGACTTCTGGTTACCTACGAAGCTATTCAATAAATTACTGAAAGTAGTGAGACATTGAGAGTAGTTGGGGGTTATCTTCTTACCAGATGACCAAGCCATCATTTTTAAAGAGAACATTTGCAAAACGTTTGTCGACATGACTCACTGACGGTTATTGGCTCATATGTTATGTTCGGTGACTGAATTGCTGTCTTAGGATTACCGCATTAAAATGTTCACGGGTAAATTCACAGTGGTCACCTTAGGATCAACAGGATGAAATGCCTGACCCAAAGTTATGCCACCAATGGCCACCAATGGAAAGAGATATCAAAGGTAAGCTCCATAGATGTTCGCCTGGTCTGCAAGCTGTCAAAAACCCTACGGAATGTGAACCGCAAAAATAATCTACGTCTTGCTGGACCATGGACGGGACTCAATGCGAATTTCGCCTGTCCAGTTCAAGGAAAAGTGCTTCTAGTTACCGTAGTTGCAATGACAAAGTGGCCGGAAATATGTACTATGCCGAACTGTTCAGCCGAAGAAACGAACAGCAAACCGTCTAAATTTTTTGGCTGTTTTGTGGTAATGAAAGCCTTGGTGATAGGTAGTAGCCCTAAATTCGCTTCTCACTTGTCTAAAATATTCTGTGGTGTGGGTGGGGCGCTCGTGCTATCCACCCCATCATATTCAGTCTAACGGAAATGCAGGATGTTTTGTGGACACCTTCAAAATAGAACTACTTGAAGGGAAAGACGAGAGGATGCTGAGTCAAGTGACCACTGAGTTCTTGCCACCTAACAGAACCAACTACAATTCTGTTTCGTCAGATGGGAAGTCATCAGCTGAAGTCATGTTCAGTAGAAGCATCGAACCAATATTCGACACTTTGCTAGCATCCGATAGGGTGGATGACCACGGAAAAAGTAGTTGTATTCGCAGATTTGATGTGAGGGAAAGAGTATTTGCCAAATCATACCAGGGCCGATGCCGATGGAACCTGGGACAATTGTTCAAACAACGGGTAGATTCTTGTATAACATGAAGTGAGCATTCGAAACACGCATTGGACATACCAACTAATTTTATGAAAATAAAAGGACAATGAACACTAGGGATTGTCAAATGAAACTACCATTAGAGATAATTACAGATGCTTCAATGATGCAAATATACAGGGAAATTTTAGGGAGAAAAAAGAGGGGCTGGTTAACGGAGATAACGAAAAATGAAGCGTCAGTGCCAGTTATTAATTTACAAGTAGACTACAGAAAGAAAACTTGCCATGAAAAGGTGTTGGAATGGATCTCAGGAGCCAGAAGAAGCCTCCAGAGATTCTAAATGAGCCGGCGAGATTCCATCTAATCATATTCCGGTAGGAAGATTCTGCAGTATTAATAGAAGATGCTATCATTAGACAATTGAGCAAACTTTCTAATTGGAAATTAGTTCAGCTATGATGATGTTAAAGCCCATACCAGAAAATTCGAACACACCTGTTCTTGTGTACTTCTCGTACACTTACGCAACAAATATTTCTCCTGCTTTCTTCTGTCTTTTTGGTCTGCGATTATAGGTTCTACGCGTTCGAATCTCAAAGCCATATCCCATATTGGTCGTAATCAAGTGCAGGATGCAACAATGACAAAACAATGTAAGGTTATACTATGTACTTCAAATTGAAGTTCATGAAAGTCTTAGACTTAATTAGACTAAAAGTAGTTCCGTAGTTTACTTAAAAATCACAACTCAGTAAATGGTCGTGTTGCAGTTTTCAGTGTTTCAGTTGATCCAAACGTGCTTGTTTATGCTAGTTTTGCATCGCTGGTACCATTTATTCGTGAGATAGGAAAATTTGTTCTTAGCTTTTTTAGAAATTATGGTAGTGAGTCGTGCGGTTTAGATTTTCGAGTCCTCATCACTGCGTAAAGTAAACACGTTTTCCCAGATGTCACATGTCGGTCTTTCATTACTAGCTACCATGCCACTGCTGTTTTAGGGTTGATCGGAGCATAAAATCTGGATACTTCTGATCGGGATATTGTTTTTATTCCATTTTCGTCTTTAAGCTTTTTTTAGCCTACTACAGTTTCTGAAAGCAATCTACATTGTGGACTTACCCATCAAGAACTATTATTCTCCGCAACATTTTTTGGGCATGAGCTTCGGAGTACTTTTGAGCAGCTATACAGTAGTTTGTAGCGTGGAGTAGTTATCTCAGTTTAGGGGGTAGTTTACACTGCCTTGGAAGTCACATTTAAGTGACTATGATAGATAAACCCTAAAGGCATTGTCTCAGAAGACCTCGAACTTCCAGACGGTGCAAGATAGACAGTATCTAAGAGTATAAGGCCATCAAAGTTTTCAAATTACTTGATTCCTGACGGTATTTTTTCTTATATTTAAAAATGATACTTAGAAATTGTACATGCATTGATTGACGGATTTTTATTTATACTTATTGACAGTTTGATCAACCTAAATACAACACTGATTGGTTTTATTGGAAAGACAGTTGGGCGAACGCAGATATCTTGCTCAAAACCAATAACATCTACCTTTAATGGACCACGAGAATCATATAACATAGAATCCACCCATCTTGTATTTGTTCTTAATATACGAATTTGAAAACATGTATGAATCTTGCCCCCAAACCCTCTTATTACATATACGGGATAGTATAGATTAAAACGATTTCCGTTTTAATTACTTAACGTTAGATACTTTGCGAAAATGAACTCCGCAGTATTGTTAAGTTCACAATGCCACTTTATGCCAAAGATGCAAACTCATCTTGTATTTACCCTTAGCATACGAATTTGAAAACATGTATGTATCTCGCCCCAAAACCTTTTTGTCACATATATGGGACAGACTTTGAAACCACATGAAGTAATAGTTCCTCTTTGATTGGTTATATTTTTGATTTTGATTTGACATGTCGACAATGTGGCAAGATTAAGCTGTTAGTTGGATGGATTGAATTAGGTTATTAGAGGATAGTGGGGCTTGGTAACTGATGTAATGAATTTATGTAATTATGGTCTACTATGATATTAGTACTGCTCTAATAATAGGCTTAATCCTAAAGTTGCACATTTGTCATGACGTTACTGCATAATCTATAAGATCTTACATGCCAGTCACTTCATTGTCTACACCAACTCATCGCGTTGTAACAATCACCAAATGTATGATGGAGAACAAACATAGGCCTTCGGTAGATCAATATATTTAATATGAATAAAAAATTATGTTACAACACTTGAGATTGACCACGCTTGCAAGGCCGAGTCCGATCAATTTGAATTCCTTCAACTTCTTGTTCCCGCCTTCTCCATAGTTGGGTTTTTCTCCGCGTTCAGTGTTGGATACCTATCTTCCCAGTTGTCTCGTGTTCAGCTTTGAGGGTTGTGTGGTTACGGCCCGATGCCCCACAAATTCACTAGTTGAAGGTTAGTGGTTTTCTCATTAGTTTCAGAAGGGCTTTATAAAATGGATTTTAAGTATAATAGGGATGCCGATTGATGTGCCTGTTAGGTAAATTGATGAACCTTTAAAGAGGACGTGAATTTACATATTATCACACAACAGTTCCACAAGTGTTACTGGCAAAAATTACACATGTTATGATGGCTGTGTACGCAGTAGTTTCTCAAGTTCTACATCTATGGTGAGCGATGAAAGTTTTCAAGTAACAGTCATTATTTACGTTTCCCTCCTATTCTTTACATATTGTAACTCAATGAGACTATGAGGAGAGATACAAATGATTGCAGTATGTTACGACTGATCTATGAAGATAGTGTCCAGTAAATTTTTTCGGATTTTTATGCCAAAACTCTAAACGCAGTAAACCATGGAAATAAGCGTACTCATCTTATTCCAAACAAGCCACTTTACACTCACATTTTACTTAGCCATATCAAAACTGGGTGGCTGAGAAGTGACTCCAGAATGATCTGAAGATAAAGAACAGTGTTGAACTAATGTATATCATAACATGACAATACGATCGAGCACAACGTTGACCGCAGGTTAAATAAAAAATAAACAGATAAAGCATAACAAGTCGGTTACAACAAGCGAGTACAAGAAACTAATGAAAAAATTTCTGAAATGTTTCATGTGATTTGCCCGAGCAGTTGAGGAATATTTTGACAAATATATTAAGTCATATTAATGTGATAGTAAGGATTACAAAGATTTCCGTTTTGAGTACTTTACGTTAGATATTTTGCAAAAATTAACTCCGCAGTATTGTTTGGTCTACAATGCTAATTTATGCCAATGATGCCAACATTTATTGATAAGTAATAGAGGATGCATGTGCACTCCAGGCTGAGCTAGACCTTCTGACCGGCTAGACTAGATTGGGGGAGATACGGACTTAAAAATTATGTTTAGGTTGAAATTTTATGTTTAATAGGCAAATGGGATAGCTTGAAAAAAGAAAAAGGGACAACTATCGATGCAAATCAGGATTTCCGAGGACTACTGTGCACACTATGCCTCTATTGGTCAGATCTAATTCTGTCTTAGCGTAGATTATAATGTGTTCTGTGAATATCTAAAATAGTAATTTACTTTGGACCAAATAAAGCTTTCATTTATCGTTTGACTACGATAAGAAAACTCAGGAACATAGTAGGCTAGTTCAAGTGCCAAGAATGGAGTAAATATCCATATAATAGAGATTTTGTGGTGTTTGAGCTTAGAGGTAATCAATTCAAGAGAACACTAGACACTCAGAAATTTACTTGAAGAGGATTGATACTGGAAGTTGTTTATAGAGGTTTGGATAAGACCTTAAATCAATCTGGTGATGAAAAATTTCACATTGTTGTTGCCTGAGGATCGTTCTGTATATTGTTTTTTATTTTTCCTACTCTAGGAAGGTTTTGAGTGATGTCGCTTAACTTTATAATCTTCTGTATCATATGAATCATCATATTGCTAGGTAGGGAAGGCCCAGGATCGTTCTTGGATATCAAGGCACTCATGAAAAGTCGGCAGTTTAAGAACCAACAATCACGGAGATATTGGATATTGGACCCGTAGCGCTGCTTTCAGTCCTGTAAAAGCGTGTGCTTTTTGTTTCTGTAGATGTTATGCAAGGGGACACTGAGATCAGCGTTAAAGGTAAGCTAAGAATCATCACACTTCAGTTTAATGATCAGATGACCGCTGTATTACTTCCAACCGACGTAACCTACTGCAGTCTGAGGTACGAAAATGTAGTTTTTTATAATGGCTTAACATAGGTTGTGTCTTTCTTTACACCAGTGGCAGATAAATTGAGATTGAAAGACAGTCAGTCTATTCATAGGCCGCGTCTTGATATTGTTGAGGAAAAGCCACGGACTAAGACTATAGTCGTCAGACTGAGCTCTCCGGGGATGTCAGAAGGTGTACAAACGTTGGGTAAATTAAATAACTTCTCGTCCAATAAACTTAAAATCCACCAAATAGATCACAAAAATAGTGTGGACGTCATCACTACATTTCTACCGATGAAAACTAAGGCCATGTCATCAATGAGCAGTTCTATCGTTACAAATGGGTCTGTGCCACACCAAGAGTTAGTACCTAATATTCTGCCTAAGGACACAAACACAAAAAGACCTTCAGTACCGTGTGTTTCATCGAATACACCGAATCGAAAGTCACTGTTTACTAATTTGATACGCAGACTTTCAACCCCGCGAAACAAAATATGTCGCACTAATAATTCTTCTGTTCTGTTAACTAAGGGTGAGACAGGTATGTCACGCAGCGACTCTGGATCAAGCAATCCTAGTCCACGAAAGTTACGTAGGTGGTTCACAAAGCGTATGTGGAAATCCGCAAAACTGTCTGATCAACTTCATGAAACACGTAAGTATAGTTTTTTACATCCTTGGTGGATGAAGACTTTGAACTTTTTTGCATACTATCATACTCCTCGTAAATCTATCATTTCGAACAATCTTGTTTTTAGTGTAACAGTTATAATAATCTGTAACAAAATTGCTGAGGTTTGTTGTCTTGGCAGATACTAACGCAGGACTTCACACTTCATGTTTAATTGTTCCCTTTTATAATAGAGAAAAAAAGACATTTCGTAGCGCAATGACATGTACTCATTTTTCACGGGTTCTCTTGCAGAACGCTTACAATTGTCAGTACTTATTTTTCCCATTCCTACTTTGCATATTACTGGATGTTTATTAGTCAAGTGAGGTATCACTGATAAAAAGACCATTTAATTAAGATGTTCATGCTAATCAATTTCTGAACCATGTTTGCTGTCGGTTCACTTGGAATCCTAGCTGTCAATAAAAAAAATACAATTCACTATCCTGGTGTCAAAAAGTACCTTTCAGCTACTTTTGCAGTGGATTAGACCACTGATAGCATTATCAATTATTAGTTCTTGAGATTTAGATAATTAAGGTTACTAATATTGGTGATGTCCATCGTTAATGTATGGATTGTTCGAAAAAGCGCGATTAATAGTAATGCTAACATGTTTCTGACCTAGTACGAGACACCTTTCCTGAGGTTTCTAATAAGGGTAATGTCGTTATGTTATCTGATATGTTCATTTAACAGTGCAGCCTTGTCTATGTTGCATCCTCCATTAGAGCGTTTTACAGGAACTAAACAGCAATACCTTAATGTCGCATCATTTCTTCGGTTATCAATAGAAATAAGAATTACATTGCTAGGGATGTACAAGTCATGAGTCGACGGACTATGCACAATAATTTTCGTGATTACTTAAAGGAAATTGAATAGGTAGCTAAGGGGTATGTTATGTCTTTTGGTGTAATATTTAAGGGGGGTTGTTACAACCTGGTTCTTATCTGTCACTTCATGAGGGGATGAGACTAATCTGATATTAAAATGCTCATCAAGTCGTTACATATTTTCCAGAAAATATTAAGGGCAACGTGAGACTAAAGGGTTACCTTACAACTAACTTTCTATAGTCCGTTCTATTTTCATCCAAGTGCTCACTATGTTTGTTTTTGTTAGTTCGCTTTTCATTGGCGTGTCCTGTAGTGGTTTCCACGATGTTTTGGACAAGAAGGAATGAGATTTTCTGTTTTAGTCCCAGATTTGTGATGCTTTGTATCCGAAATAATCTTATTGGACAGTTAACTCAAGCGTAGGACCAATCGTCATAGGTTATTCAATCATTTTTCACAAAAAATCTAAACAAATGTTTTCTGATATATTCCTACGGATTAGTTATATGTAAGGTTCTAGAGGTGGCAATCGTATTCCTTGCCAATTCCTGTTATTGCAAATTTGTTCCTATTATCACAGCCGCTTGGTCTTGTTAATGTTCTACTCTTTACTTCTGCGTTCATTTTCCCGTCATGTATGTACTTGTGTGGGTTAACTGCATAATTACATTGATCACTCAATTGGAGTTAAATGAGTTTTATTTGTTGTGAAACTTAATTGGATATTATTTATCAAAAGTTTCACGAATTCACTTTATATAATTCATTGACTAATTAGGAACATTTGATAAATATCTCGTTTGATGCATATATTATTTGTAAATCCTATCTTTTGATTCAATTAACTTTACTTTTCTACAGGTTGTAGCACAAATTCACAACCTTCATTAACCAGTGTTGATCCTGTTTTAGAGACCCAGTATACACACTCCACAGTTGACGACTTATCAGAGGAGTTGCAGTTGGCCACCCAAGACATTGGATCTGCTCCAGTCCCCCGTAAGCTCATATTCGCACCACATCCAATGAAATCCCCCTCACCACATTCACAAAATGTTCGCGGTCAAAATTCTAGTTATAAAGTCGTAAGTTTCTTGTCAACTCTATTTATGTGTGTGTATTCAAATTAAAGATACAAAGTTTCGTAACGGCTAACTATTCAACATTGACTCCAAGGTGTTTTATTGAATTCCCTGCGCAAATTATTTAGCCGATTAGTTATAAATAATGTACGACTTCGTAAAATATGCATTGGGCCAGGCCCCAGACGCTCTGACACCTCCGAGGTTAAAGGGAGTCTGCTCCCTCGAAATACTTTCACAAGGATACGCGTATACAACCATTGCTAGGGAAGTCCTACTCACTGCCTTCTCGTGACGGCGGTGTTGTCTACGAAATTGAGAGGACAAAAACCGAATTTCCGGCGCTTTAACCGGGTTGGTGGATATGGAGGGTACACCTAGAGGAGTTGGAAAACCCTGATTTCAAACCAATGGTGTACGTGGGCCACAGGATTCTGAACGAACAAATGGCGTATGAAGCAATCGTTGGTCACCGGCTTCCATGGGACTGCATCTCCTTACGTTGCTCTACTGCCCCGTGGATCAGACCGTTAGGTCGAAGGCTCCAGATGTGGTCCCCTAAGAAAACCACATGCTTCGGTTTGGGCACCCGGGCAGTATCACAGCCCTCACACAAATCGAATGATTTATGTGGCCATATATATTTGGTACCTTCTTGTCAGTCAGTCAGTAACAATGTAGAACTCCGTACGTACGTACATCAGTTCGAGTTGCCACACCACATTAGCATAGAGATGCAGTGGTCGATTCAAATCCCGTAGTGGTAGAGGTAATAAGAGTATAAGCAGTAATCGGGAAAATTAGGGTTTGGAGATGTTATTTAAAGAGTATAATCCAGTGAAATAAATTTGGGAAGAGAAAAAAGAAAGGAACATGAAGAATTCAGATTATAATTTGGGAGAACACAAAGAGTGTATGCACCTGCGCCATTGCAAACGATTTTGAGCCATGTCATTCAGGGTCTCTAACCATCGGTTGCTATCATCTCGCGGTCCCCAACCAGGTAGTCTACACCTACCAACATGACTCAGTCCACTTGTCAGTGACTTCATGGACTTGTGCCATGTTTTGGTCTGGCCGCCCCTAGCTTTCTTCCAACCTACTCCTATACCACTGAACATCGCACGTCGAGGCAGTCGGTCGTTGGGCATACGTAACACGTGTCCCAGCCATCTCAACTGATGAAGTTTCACTACGTCATCAATTGATTTGCCATCCTTACCTAGTACCCGTTTCCTAACAACTGCATTACTTACTCGATGGTCCCAGGATATACGAGCAATGTTTCGAAGACACCTATGATCAAATACTAGTAACCTACGAATATCCTCTACTCTTACCGGCCATGTTTCACTGCCATAAAGTAGGACGGAACGAACTGCTGCGCAGTAAACCGTCCTTTGGTTGATAGACGGATATCTCGCCTACGCCATAAATGACGCAAGTTGGCAAAAGCTAGTCGAGCCTTCTGTATCCGTGCTGAGATTTCGTCACACACCAGACCACAAGGGCTGATGAGACTTCCAAGATAAGTGAAGCGATCGACACGCTCAATTACTTCACTCCCTATCATTAGTTCGGGTGTCAATGCAACCCAATCCTGAAGCAACATTTTGCATTTCGAGGGGAGAATCGCATCCCGAACATGCTTGCATTGTTGCTTAGAGTGGTCAGAAGACTCTGCATTTTGTCAGCGTCTTCACCAAATAAAACTATGTCATCAGCATATTCTAAGTCAACAAGTGAACCTCCCGGTAGAAGTTCAACCCCTGTAAATTTAGATGAGGAGAGTGTTATCTCTAAAAGTACGTCGACACAAAGTTGAACAAGAATGGGGAGAGTGGACAGCCCTGACGAACACCACTTGAGGTAATCAATTCTGATGACAGTTCGCCATAAGCTCTCACTCTACCAGTTGTGTTCGAGTAGAGAGCCTTTATAAGGTTAATGTACTTCTTTGGTACTCCTTTCAGTGACAAACACTGCCATAGAACCTTACGATCAACAGAGTCGAATGCCGCCTTAAGGTCGAGAAATACTACCATTGTGGGGCGTCTGAATGTGTGTCTGTGTTCTAGAACCTGACGTAGTGTGAATATCTGATCTATACAACCACGTCCAGGTCGAAAACCAGCCTGATTTTCTCTAGTCTGCTCTTCACGAGCTTTAGTTAGGCGTCGAAGTATTATTGAAGCTAATATTTTAGACACTATATTAGTCAAACTGATTCCTCTGTGATTGTCACAAGAGGACTTTTGTCCTTTCTTATAGACTGGCACAATCAGTGATTGAGACCAGTCAGATGGGATTACGTCCAGTTCCCAAATTCTACCTAAGACCTCAGTTAATCTCACTGCTAATACTGGACCACCATCCTTAAAAATCTCAGGAGTAAACCTGTCAGGGCCTGCTGCTCTCCCTCGTTTCAGATTTCCTATGGCTTTTTCAACTTCGTAAAGAGACGGAGGACCTACATTAACTTGCCATTCAGGTTGACTGGAGATCGTGGGAAACCGAAGTGTGGCTGAAGGCCAGTTGAACTGATCCCTAAAGTGTTCTGCCCATCGATCCAATCTCCTGGATTGAGAATGTATAATATGTCCATCTTTCTCTGAGATTGTTTCGCTAACAGTCGGTTTCCTAATACCGGTTTCCTTAACAAGTCTGAACAATTGTCTGCTATTACCTATTGCCGCTGCCTTTTCCATCTCTCTTGCTTTCGCTACCCACCACTGTTCACGATCATTGCGTAGACTTCTTGTCAGCTTGCGCTTAAGCTGACTCCGCTCTTCATTATGTTCAGAGCCAGGTGGAATGAGTTTCCGAGCATCTATCAGTGCGATAGATGCTGCTGAGATCCAGTGTTGCTCCCTAACCTTCTGGTTTACCTTACTAGCAGATATCACTGCTGTTTCCACAGCTTTTCGGATATCATTCCATGCTGCCTCGGGGTGGGCATCACATACATGGCTGCCTAACTGTTTTCCTAGTTGTTCCTGAAATATACTCTTAGCTTGACTATCATTAAGTAGGGCCCTAAGAGGTTTCCTTGCAGCGTCTTTCCTACGTCCAGTAAGACGCAGGCAAATACGCGCTCGCACTAGAGCATGATCTGAATCTAAGCATGTGCTCCAGAATGAGCGACAGTCTTCTATCGAGCCCCTCCATCGGTGGCTGATAGCGATGTGATCTATTTGGGTCCAACGTTGGGACGAATTAGGGGGTCGCCATGTTAAAAGATGTTTTTCCTTATGCTTAAAGTTAGTATTTGCAAGGAACAGGCGGTTATCTGAGCATAGCTGCAACAGACGGTCGCCATTATCTGTTCTTTGAGCCACGACGCTATAAGATCCACCTAGGTGTCTTTCCCTATCGCTTAGTTTACCTACTTGAGCATTAAAGTCACCGGCCATTATTACTACATCCGAGCGCCTAGCTTTTCGGAGAAGGTCGGAGAGCTTTCTGTAAAACTCATCTTTTACATCATCTGAGCTGCAGTCAGTGGGAGAATAGGCAGAGACGACGAAGAGGCAACGACGAGTGTCCCTATCTTTCGGATCCTTACTGTTCCGTTCAGTCGGACAGCGCACAAACGACTGTCTACTGGGATCCACTCTAAGAGAGCTAGTTCTGCCCTAGGACTCAATGCTATACCTACGCCGGCGAGGCCACGGGAAGCAGAATCAGGGCTTCCAGATACACGAAGTGTGAATCGAGTCGGTTCTTTATTTTGGCATGGTGAGGTCAAATGAATGACGCTACTCGGATCCTGTATGCGCGTTTCGGAGACGCAGCACACATCGATGGCGCGGGATTCTAAAGTCCTAGCTAAGGAAGCCTGTTGTCCTATTTGGCACAGTGTTCGTACGTTAAAAGCTCCTACGTGTAGTTTAGAGCGTGGTTTCAGGAGACCAGGAATAGCGTTCCGCGTACTCGAATCGTTTGCCCTAGCGGTGCGAGGTGATAAAGAGACGTGAGGAGGGTTAGTCATGGAGATAAGAGAGGTATTAGGAGGTGTAGGAAGGATTTGAATGTGACCAACTTGGTCTCGTGTGCTGTTACGGGTATGAGGGCTGATGTCACTTCCCGGCTGCCCACACCGTGGAAGGGTATTTCTTGAGGAACCTGAAAAGGAAATTGGATTAGTGTTGGTCTTAACGACCTGGGAGCGTGACCGCAGAGCCCAAGGGACAACTGCTTGAGGCCGGTCGCGCACGGCCTTTTCGTGGAAGGTTTTTAACGTGTTAGCTCCGTTCTTCAAAGGGCCTTACCGCCGGAGACGGAAATCCGTGAGGTAAGGTGAGGTGTGACATTTTTAGGGTCGACCTTTTCTAACCCCACCCCTCCTTGTGGGAAGGCAGCATCGCTGTCATGCTGGTTGTCCGAGGGAAACACCTTACTGCTGTCACACCCCTCTACAGTCAGCAGTACGACTTCGCCCTCAGACCTTGAGTTGCTGCTTTTAGTCTTACCGTTCTCCAATCGACCTGCCTGGCATGGTAGAACCTACAGGAACATGTGTTCCAGCCAATATAGCTCGGTTGGGTCATCACGATAGGCAAGCCCGACCACCGCGTCAAGTTAGCAGCTTCGGTCGGGGTACCTTCTTGTACCACTGTTTATGTGTTTAAATAAATAAATAGGGACTAGACAACGGAGCACGCTTACGAGTGAAATATGTCCCCACATCATTAAATAAAACTAAGTTTAAATTGGCATCCGAACGAGTGGGAAGATCTACCACATTTTGGTAACCTAATGATAAAATAATGCTACAATCATATGAATTAAAATCGCAACATGTAGTTGTAGGTGAACCATTAAAGGCAGTAACAGCAAATTCAGTGGATTCATCAGCGATACCCAGAGTGCAGATGACGTGCAGTTCAGAGTCATGTAAGTGTTGGTAACATAAACGTAATCGTATTTGTTCAAGTGTTTGGCATCTTGAAGTTAAATAGTCGATAAAGTCGTTTAAAACTTAAAATATGCTAAATTAGATCGACACTAATTCACATTTACAGATGTAGCTACGCCACCGCCACACCTTTTCTTATTACTTGATCGATCCTGACGATAAATGTTACGACCTTGTAACGATTTTAAACAATCGTCGTGTAAATCATTTAACCAGGATTCTTGAGTTGTGATTACAGCACCATTATGAAACATATTTGGACCCAATAGTAGTTGGAGATAGTCCATTTTGCCAACTAGTGATCGGCATTTGGAAGTTAACAGTTCGAGAATCGACATCTGATTCATGTTCATTCTTTTCAATACATATTGCCAGACACTATGATGTCTCTGGTTGTATTTTTTAAAGCGGTAAGTCGTAAACTTTTATATGCACTTGAATAGGTTATGCGTTTTGTAATCACGTACACGTTTCTCTACTTCTTAAAATAATGAGTGGACGCGGTAAAGGTGAAGTTCGTAGTAAGGCTAAAACAAGGTCAGCCCGTGCTGGTCTTCAATTCCCTGTTGGTCGTGTACATCGTCTTCTTCGCAAGGACAATTAAGCTGAGCGAGTTGGTGCTGGTGCTCCAGTCTATCTAGCTGCAGTTCTCGAATAAATAAAAATCATAATAATGTGTTAAAGTAAATAAAAGAGATAACTTGTTGAAATATCTAGTAGTAGCAACAGGTAGCCCAGATATTCCATCAGGCCGACAGTTTATATTAATCTAGCACAAATAAAAACAATTAGTAGTAAAACATTTACATTCTACAATAATCAAATAGTTATCCATAAAACAGCATTACATCTTGGTCATGAAAAAGTGTTTGGTTCTTATTGTGTATATTTTCTAGGCTCAAGATACTGGCGTTGATTACAACATCCATGTTTCCATGCAATCTGAACGTGAGTTGAAACTTCCATGTAGTTCTTTTCATTTTTCTTTGGCAAAAAGTGAATTATGACCTGTTCACCTCCATTTATACTTTTTATGACGTATGAACCTATTGTTTGTCACCATCCACCATGAGACTGCATCTCGTAACGTTGCTCCAATGCCTTGTGGATTAGACCTTTAGGTCGAAGGCTCGGGATCTGGTCCCCTAAGTAAGTCGCCTGCTTCGGTCTGGGCACCCGGGCAGTATCCCAGCTCCTACACAAATAAAATGATAACTACTACTGGCAAAATTACTTTTGCTTCAACGCTCATTCAGACGAATCATTTGATAACATTCGTTTCTATTTCTTTTGCACTACATTACTTATCTACTCCCTTTTATTCTCATCCTGCGTATTTTTCAACATACACAGCAGCTAGCCTATGGTGGAAACCCTGTTCTATCGAAACGATATGGAGTCACCGACTGGTCGAAAGTTGACTGCTACCACCAACTACGAATACTGAACCAGTCTTCCTGAAACCACACATCCATTCAAACAGACCAATCGGGACTTGTTGGTCACAGGTCATAACGGTGACTGTCTACTGTAACTTTGCGTAGGCTACAATCTGTTTTCGGCTAGCACTGACTTCCGGCACAGTCGTCGCCGATGTGCCACCTGACGCTCTCCTTCTGCATCTCAAGTTTGAACTCAGATTGATCACATCGTGATCAGCTATCTCTGGCATAGTTGTGTACAAGACTACCTCTCCTTTTGGATTACCTATCTGGACTCTGATCATGACCTTGTTTGCGTTAATCTTATGTTTCAATGGCCAACAACCTCATCGTCCTAAACCGACCAATGTCAGCAAATTGGTTGCAGCTGCTGTTGCAACTAAATACCAAACCCAGCTAGGTTTAAGGCTAGCTACTAGCCCATCGAGCAGCATAGATAAGTATTGGCTACAGTTGTGTGATACCATGGAAACGGCGAGTGAAAAGCCGCTTGCAGCTTCGCGAAATGTCCTGCTTATAAGCACTGGGTTTCTACAGACTCCTCACAACTCATTGAAGCACGTCGGTCTACTCTGAGTGGCCGCGAGTTTGACCATAAATGGAGATTGTTACGTAATGGATTTGTGCGAAGCTTGCATAAGGACTGAGAAGCCTGGTGGTTGGAGCGTGCCATTGAGTTTAAAGTAGCAGCTGCATCTGGTAACTACCGGAAGTTCTTTCAACCCATCCGAGTCACTGGCAGCAAGTAGTTTGGTGTGTGTGAAACAATCTGTGAAGATGAGATAATGCCATTCAACAACATCTACCGACGTCGGACGATAGGCAGAGTTTTTCGAAAAGTAATCCAACTGGTCTGCTGTCCCGGCAACTTCGGTCAGACGTTCCTGCTCTCCATGACCGGTGATGACTGATCCACCTAACGAGCCGGAACTCCAACCCCTAAAGCTCCACATGTCACCAGACCCAGATGACTTAACTCATGCCCTTTTATAGATAGTGGCAGGTTATTGAACTGATGGTTGTTTGCGAAAATTTGAGAATTAGAGTATCCCAACCTCGCGTCGATGAGAGCAGTTTTGCTCTATGATTGTGAAACCTGACCTCTCCGAGTTGAGGATGTTAGACGACTCTGTGTTTGATCATAGTTGTCTCCGAAGGATTGCTGACATCCAATAGCAACATCGTGTTAGTAATGCAGAGGTTCGGCATCGTGTGTTCGGGCGCAGAGACGATAATGCAATTGGTGTCACCTTGAGACACCGACTTCGGTGTCTTGGATATATCCTACGAATGTCGTCCCAGAGAATTCCACGTCGTGCATTATTTGCCGACGCTGGGACTGGTTGCAAAATGCAGAGAGATGGTCAGTGTATGACATAGTGTCGCGGTATGAAAGAAAGATGTACGGGACTGGCTTCTGTTGGTCCTTCACGACTCCCTGGTTGGAGTCCTAGAGATTGTGCAACATAATGGCTTGAGTTGTTATCAAACATGGTTCAGAATAGAAACAAGTGGCGATGCTGTTGTAACTTTCTTCATAAAAGCGAACGTAACTTTAACTAGAAGAATTCTTTCTGGTTGTACCTTTGCTAACTGAACTACTTCTTTTATTATTGTTTCACTATCATACACCAATTTCTGTTCATTATTGTTCTCTTTTTCTTTAACACACTTTACATTCTCTATCTTCACACTCTCATCGTTATTGTGTGGCGCATATGCATTTGGTGCCTCCTTGTGCCAATATTTTTGTGTTCAAAGAAATAAATGTAGTTTTTTAATCAGTAATTATGCAAATGAATTGATAATAACCAAGTAAGGCTCAGGCGTAACTATATTGGACAGATTTTCTTTATTTAGATGAATAGTCAAACTACCTCAAGTTAGTGTTGGTTGGGGGAAATATTTATGAAAAGCCGTATGTATCGGTTTTTCATCGTTATTGATGTCTTTCCACTTGACCCAGATGGCTTAACGTTTGACCCCTGGGCTTTTTGAAACTATACAACTTCTCTAAATTAACGTTTGCATTACTGTTTCGTCAACTAAGGCTTTATCCACCTTAAATTTCATCATTCTTCGTTCGACCTTGGATAATAGGACCTAAAATGGAACGCCTTATAGTCAGTACAACTCGGTTAGGTTGTATTAAGAAGGATTATCTACTACCACGTAAAGATGTGTATAATACTGAAAATGATTCGGAAAATGTATTGTCATATTGTACCTGAGTGATGTTAGAGTTTTAAATGTCTGTCAGATTCTAGGAGAGATACTTTTATGACAGTCACCGTACTTAATGTATGGTAAGGGTTCAGAAGATTCAAATCTACTGATTTACTCGCAAATATGACTCCTTATTATTCTCGGGGTAGTAGGGATCATAAGCGCCAATTATAAACGTTAGCCAATATCCTAACGGGTCGCTAAATATCCTAGTACGGCCGAGAGTGGGGAGAGACAGCTCTCCCTCTCTAAATGCTCTCGCATGGCCACGTGCATACAACCACTGTCAGGGAAGTCCTACTCACTGCCTTCTCGTGACGGCGGTGTTGTCTACGAAATTGAGAGGACAAAAACCGAATTTCCGGCGCTTTAACCGGGTTGGTGGATATGGAGGGTACACCTAGAGGAGTTGGAAAACCCTGATTTCAAACCAATGGTGTACGTGGGCCACAGGATTCTGAACGAACAAATGGCGTATGAAGCAATCGTTGGTCACCAGCTTCCATGGGACTGCATCTCCTTACGTTGCTCTACTGCCCCGTGGATCAGACCGTTAGGTCGAAGGCTCCAGATGTGGTCCCCTAAGAAAACCACATGCTTCGGTTTGGGCACCCGGGCAGTATCACAGCCCTCACACAAATCGAATGATTTATGTGGCCATATATATTTGGTACCTTCTTGTACCATTGTTTGTGTTTAAATAAATAAATAAAAGTGTACAATTGCTATTGTCAATTAATGTTTCAATAATAGTTTTGATATTCTTTATTTAATGTTTGTTTCGATAGGCATTCATACATTTAAATCTTCGTACTTTTGTTTTATTCACTAGTTAATAATATCAGAATGGATACTGAAGTCAAAAACTTCCCAAACTGTTCACCATCTTCTCTATTTTGTACCACTGGCATTCATTCGCCGGTGACCAGTTCCCCACTACTTTCTGCTGTAACACGTGAAAATAGTGTACGTTCTGTTGGAAACGAAATTCATCATTTTGGAGTACCATTTAACCATGACATAAATAACATTGAGCCAAATAATCTTCGTCGATCAGAAGCGTTAATTTCACAGTCTTGTGCAAAACTCCCACAATCTGTAGCGTCCCAGTATCGCACATCTCCTTTGGCCGTATGTAGCTGTAAGTTCTGTGAGTGGTTTCTATACCAATTTATACTTATCAGTTAGAACGTTGGGTGACATACATTTTCTATGTAAAGTACGGTGAGCAATACAATCAGAATTTTCCCAGTTGGTCTTATTTTCCTCTAAATTTAAAATAGAGTTATTTTTTATTTCAGATACACCCAGTTATCTCAGCGCATCAGTGGCAGCGTTCGGTTACAGTAAATATTACTCAGCATCAAAATCAATTCATAATCTAGTCCATACGGAAACTTCTCCTTTAGTAATTCAGCATGCTGTTGGACATAAGCTATCCATTGCCCGTTCTCATAGTGGGACATCAGATATTAAAAATGAAGTAGTTACTTCTGCAATTCCAAGTACAGTGACAAATACTTTCGGTGAGAAAAAGTCGCGAGTTGTGGGAAATATGTGTGGAGATGCTGGATCTATTTTAGAGGATTCCCAATTATCTTGTCATCGAACTGAGGTATTTTTACTAGTTTTACATTGAGTTAATAAATTTGCTTTACAACACCATTTCCTTCGGTAACTAAAGTGACATCAACTCAGTTCACACTTATGATAAACAGTTTGATGATAAATGTCTCTGCATTGTTACTCAACATAACATTCAGTTGCTGTAGTTGTTTGTTGACACATGACTGAGTCCAAAATAGTTAAGAGAGGTCAGTTTATGATTAAGTGCTATGTAATAAAATATAGTTGCATCAAATTCGCGTCTAGGTGCCTTTATGAACTTTGGTTGTCATCATACATGATTTACAGTTGATTGTTGTGTTTGCTATAATGTAACTTATAGATGTAATTCAAGGAGTTCTGGTGAGAAACTGTGACAGGTGTGGTTGGGCGTGAGACAATGGAAGATGTTCGTGCGATACCGTGAATTTTGACTGAAGTTAAACTCTCACACCATCGGATCCCAGCATAGTGGTCTAGAGGTTTGTACCCAAGGCTGGAGCTCCTTGGTTTGATTCTTGGTAAGGCCATGATTGCAAACATCTGAGGAGTCCCATATTTGGAGAAAATGACTTCAGTGCTTGGTAGTTTTCAGTGGTAGTCTGACTGAAATCAGTCTGCGATGTGAACTATAAAAAGATTGTTAAAAAAAGTGCTTCGCTCGAAATAAAATGTAGGAAGTGAAAAAGCAACTATGATAACCAGAACTTAATAGTGTTAAGGAACACAGTTCAAACGACAATACAACAAACATAACTTCCATTCCTCTCAGAAGTACACTTTGTAGTTTATATTGAACACATGAGTGAGTTTCGAATCCATCACTACTGACTTTGATTTCCAACTGTCCTTATGTTTTCTGATTTATAAAACACCATTCATGGAGTTGTTGTAGACTAACAAATGCTAAATCAACACAACTATGATTCATTTGAGGAGAAATGTATAGAACTGTCTCGCTCTGATCATTTTTACTTATTTGCAGTATCGCTAAACGAAGCTGTACATGATAGTTGCTAGAACGTCGTGGGTAAATTGTATCGTAGCCTCTAACGTCGATATTTAAAGATGATATTGTTGGTTGAACCGTAGTCTTTCAATGTACTTCACGATTACTTACAGGGTGTTGTCACTAAATGTGAAGAGTCTTTTGGAGTGTATGTGAGGCAAACTTAAAGCCATCGAAAATCTTCACCTCGAAGAGGTCAGGTTCCTTAGACATAAATCAGAACTACTCGCTTTTCGGGTTAACACTTAACACTGTATTGTAAATTTGATATTTCGATGTTGCTAAAGACGATTTGTAGTATCATAATTCTCTCTCCCATCATGTCCTTTGAAGTAATCAATCTGCACCATCTCTATCGATAGCTAACTTTGAGAAGAACGACGAAAATGATCAACCTAAATCATGAAAGTAGAAACGAAACCTCAAAATTCCAAGTTTTCTTTCGTATTCGATCAAAGACTAGCGCTTCCGACGAGTTTCACGCTAAGATCGTACAACTACTCAGTGCTCTCTAAGTATAAAAGTTCAGCGTTTATTTCACTGTACTACGATTTTGAACAGTTTATGGTTTTCCTAGAATGTTGTCTTTATATGCAACACCAACATTTTATGAAAATATTTTCTAACTTTGTATTTATTTTAAATCTTATTTAGTCTGGTCGTGATGGCGTTTGGAATGGTAGCACAGAAAATGTCAAGTTGAGAAGAAAGAGGGTAAGCATTTGTGGTCAATGCGTACTGTGTAATTATTATGTGGCATAATGAAATTTTCTGTTTTAAAGTCCTATCCCAGGTTTACTTAGGAAGAGATAAAGAACTGTTAAATAGTCAAGTTCACATGCATTTTATTTGTTGAAACTACCAGTTATCTTCCTCTCTGTGTGTGCGCGTGTATGTTAATATGTCCGAATTCGCGAAACTTCATGTCGTGTTCATTGTTTAGCTGTGTTATAGAAATATGTTTTACTATGCGTTAAAAATATACTAACAAAGAAATTCAGTATTGGCGCCACTTTAAGTGGTGAAGTTTTAATTGAACAGCTTCGGTGAAATAAGAGATTTGTACGAAAGAAGGTTTATTTGCTTTTGTCGGTAAACGCTAACCAATAACACTTTCAATGGAATGTGTTTGTGATATGGATTATACATTCTCTCATTAGTTAAACTTCTGATTTCAGACAGTACTACAACAACGGTTCACTTTTATAATGATATGCTTGGTTGCAAGCTTATTTGTTTATTTTAACACATAGATATGGGTACAAGGAGGCACCAGATACATACATCACATAAATCTCATTAGATTTGTGTGAGGGCTGTGATACTGCCCGGGTGCCCAAACCGAAGCATGTGGTTTTCTTAGGGGACCACATCTGGAGCCTTCGACCTAACGGTCTGATCCACGGGGCAGTAGAGCAACGTAAGGAGATGCAGTCCCATGGAAGCCGGTGACCAACGATTGCTTCATACGCCATTTGTTCGTTCAGAATCCTGTGGCCCACGTACACCATTGGTTTGAAATCAGGGTTTTCCAACTCCTCTAGGTGTACCCTCCATATCCACCAACCCGGTTAAAGCGCCGGAAATTCGGTTTTTGTCCTCTCAATTTCGTAGACAACACCGCCGTCACGAGAAGGCAGTGAGTAGGACTTCCCTGACAGTGGTTGTATGCACGTGGCCATGCGAGAGCATTTAGAGAGGGAGAGCTGTCTCTCCCCACTCTCGGCCGTACCAGGGCATTTGGGGGCTACAGCACTACTGTAAAGTGGTACATGTGTGATGTGCTTCTTCTATGGCCTGTGTATCGTTCTACCAAGAGGATTTCCACTTGTCGGCGAATATACATACGTTTGCACAATGATGACACCAACTATGATATACTTTCTATCACCACCTTGGTTCACAGCTTGACTTTGTCCTAGTTAATTCGAACACATTAAAATTAGTCAGGAGCAAGTTCTTCCATTTTTAAACCACTACAGTATTTCATCTTCTATAATACGTAAACTTTACTTGCCCCTAATTTGTATACTCGTTCCCTAAGTGACATTTTCCACTGGTTATTTAAGTTTGTTTGTATGATTTTAGACAACTAGTAACACCAATAACACTGATGATCAAGAACATTGGAATCGATCTTCACTCATTATGTTGGCAGTCGCTCATGCTAGTCCTCGTGGTCGTGTTATAACTCCCACAACTGCACTAAACAAACCTTTCTTTCCAAGCTTTTCAGATTCCATCACTGCTTATAGCGAGGTAAATGAGAGTAAGGGAGAGCTCAATACTTCAATACAACATAAAACGGAATTAGGTGAATATATGTCCTATTTTTTGATGACATTTTAATAGTACAGTTATTTTCTTTAAAAATGATTACTGTAAATGGCAGTAGATAACAGTTGCGTTCTTTAGAGTAACTTTTGTGTATATCCTATGAAATTAAACACGGGTTTCAGGTTTTGTGAAAAACAACACAAAATCTTTACATACAACTGGCCAATAAGTAACGAGTGATAATATTTCTTAGTTGTTCAAAATTTGTTATTGGTTGAGATCATGAACCGATTGATGTTAGACCACCATTGAAAACCTGAAAGTACTGGACAGTCGTTTCGCCCTATTGTGGGACTCGTCAGTAGTGCGCTTCCACGAGTACGATCAATTCACATCGAATATGTGAATTTGCGAAAGGTGTTTATAACATGTCTCCATCATGTCCTAAGCTTTTATGATCCTATCTATATAAGATCGGCCAGTGATTTATATTAAATTTTCTCAAGAAATCCTTAAAGGTATTTGATAGCTATATTCCTTTCAGTGTTTTATATGTTATTTTCCTCGTTCAAAAAAGTGACTAAAAGAGTGTAGCAACTTGTCTTTTCGATTAGTTTTTCCTCATGCCAATCAAGTTTTGGTGTATTGGATAAAATAACATTACAAATTCAAAAGTTCTTACTGAAATAGTTACGAATGATTTACAAAGTAATTGAAAGATAGACGGAGTGGACAAAGTGACTACTATTTACAGGTATTGATTCATAAATGAATGAAGTGAAATACATAGTTATAGAATTGATATTTTGCATTGTGTAAGTGAATTAGTAAAATTTTCAATCAGAAGTTGACTATTACCAACAATCACATATTGTTATTGTTATGCAACAAGAAAAAGAGGATAATTTATATTAATTTGTGATGTGCACACTTGTTCCCAATACTACTGGTTCATTTGCAACATTTCAATTTATATTTTTTGTCCAATTACAATTATGCCACGTTGTATATACAAAAGAAATCATTAATGGGTTGTAAATGTGCTATGATGTAATTTCGAATTATCCAAGTTTTGAGATTGAAGTTTGATTTAGTTCTCATCTACTGTTGTTTACTCTCAAATGCATAATCACTTGCTAATTGTTAAGTATGTGCTACGCTATGTATCTTATATTGTAATGTTTATCTTGTTTACTAGTTGATAGTCGATTATTTGTTTAAAAAAACTATTAGTCACTTTCAAATATTGTTTTTTTTTAATTTTTGCTTCATAACTAACTAAATGGACTAATCACATTTTTATTTTCTACAAGTTGATACACTCAGTAGCAGCACTGAACTATCATTTGGAGGAAATTCATCTGTAATAATTAATTCTATCAAAGACAAGCAGTCACTCAATACTGATTATACAACGTTGTCAAATCAATCAGAAATTAAAGTAGATGGGAATTTTTATCTTCAACAAGTAGATCAAACAGAGAAGGAATTATTGAATAAAGTTTGTGAAATTGAAACTGATCTTAATAATGAAGTTGATTTGAATGATGAAGGTAATGGTATCATATAATATAACAATATACTATTATTATTATTTTCGATAATGTCTGTATGTACAAGTTATATTTTGTTTATGCATAAATTTAGCTGTGATTTGTTCTTTTATTCAAGATGAACGGATTCTATTTAATGAAAGGAACGTATTTTATTATCTATCCTTCCATTCTTTAAGTAGTTAGTTGGATATTTCATCAATAAATTCAAAAGTCTTCAATAATTTGAGTTATAATTCAGTGTATCTTGTTAAAAAATAGTCAACGTAATAGGATTTAGGACATGTGCTAAACATTTAGTTGCTAACATAATAGTGATTTTCAGGTCAAAAGAATAGTCTTGTGGAAACCAGGCTCTCTGAGCTATGTGTTATAATCAAAAACTTTCATTATCCTTCTAGATGACATCAGCAGCACAAACTTCTGATAAAAGTGAGCTATCAAAATTTGTTTTTTCCATGTCGAATTCGATTGGTGGTTATTAATGCTTATACTGTTATTTTGTGAACATTTGTTTTGATTGTCTTCTCTCCTTACCTAATTATTGGCTCTGTACTTGTTTATCTTGTTTTAAGTTGGTTGATAGTGTGTCTATTTCACTACTTACTGATCACTTATATAAGTGTGAGTCTTCTAAAAATTCTCTTTTTGTTTGTGCTACCTCTATCCAAAACTTCAACATTTTTCAAGTCTAACGTCTCTTCATCCGTCGTTATGAGCAGAGATAATTTGTGACGTTTAGTAACTAAGACAAAGATGAAAAGGGTGGTCGTTTTGTCCACTGTAATGTTTTTCGAAGTTAAAGACTATTCGTCATCAAATGGATGGTTTGGAAAGTGTTGACAGTTTGATTAGCCATATTCTTGATGACATAAAATCGATATTGTATGTGTTAAAAACTGAATATAACATGGCAAATCTAAAACTTCAAGTGTATAGCTCAATTCTATGCAAAGTTTGTACTGTTGTTTTTGTCTACTAAGACAATGAAAACTTCATGATTAGAATAGTTAGCTCAGTGAGCGTAACTTCACCGAAATTTCGGTGCTTCCTGACTATTCGAACATAAAAATAGAGGTAAACGTTGTAATTCAGTAAAAAAAATGTCTAATAATTTAACCACTTAACATTAACACTCTCATGAACATGTTTTTAAATCTTTTCTTACTAATATGGCAATAAATAATTTTTTATACAACACATAAGCATTCTGAAATAGTTACGTGTTTCTGGAAACAGTTACAAATACATTTTTTTTTATCTTAAAAGGTTTAAACTTTTTAACTGACTCACTAAAAAATCCTTTTATTATGCCAATGTTCATTTGCAATTGATCTATGGTAGAATGTATACATGTTTTTTTTTTACTTGTATAGATTATTATTTAACTAAGTTGATATAAGAAAATTCTAGTTTACATATATTCTATCTCTGTTTACTTATTACATGAAAAATCAATTATATAAAATGTCTGTTAGCATCAGGATTTTAAAGATTCATTTCGTTTATTTTCAGTACTTTAGCTCATCATAGTATCTCATGATAACTGTTTTAAACAAAATATTCGATAGCAAAATTTACCACTAAGATTTGTAATCGGACAAATTTGATTTCTTAATTTACACTTTAAAATCATGAAATTTTTATTTACTTCCTGTTTGTGAAATGTATATTGTTTCTTGTTCTGAAAAGCATAAAAAGTAGTGAATAGTTTGAAATTCATTAAATAGTGTTTCCTCTTTGTATCGGATCAACTGAACTATAGTTTATTTGAATATGTACTTCTGAGATGTTGGCTAACCAGTATTCGTAATAAAGCTAAATCCTATCATAGAATGTAACGATAGTAGTTCATTCTATAACTTATTTTTCTAAATATGAATTTGTTATTATCGAAGTTCGTTTCCGAATAACTTGTCAGTATTTATTCAGTATGCATTGATCCATTCAAAGTATGTTATAAAAAGAAAGGATTTCATGATATAATTCGATACAGAAGTGTATTACTACATTATTGCTTTTCATACACTAAAACATGTCACAATGTTGATTGATTTCAAACAACTAAGTAATCATACCTGTTACGATAAAATTAGCTCAGGATTAAAATTATTAACACTTATTCACTTGATATTATTTTACTTGAATCTTCCCATTGATGTTTTAGGACTGAAATTGATCAGTCTCTTATTGGCATATGTGCATACTGTGCGTATGCCTCGATGTTGCCTTAATTTACAAACATTATAAGCAAAGATGGATAGTGGCTAGCAGTGGAATCCAGGACGCGCGTTTCGTCCTGTTTGGGACTCGTCAGCTGGATGTACCTGCACTTATGTAGTTTCCTAGTTATCATATTACTCATGTAGTTATCTGTAAAGGCAAACAAATCTTATTGTGAAGAAAAGTATCAACTTTAGTTAGATATATTCGTGAAAAACTTGAGATAACGAATAATTAACACAGTAAGTACGGGTCGTACTTAAGAAGAAATTGCTATTTATTTAAAGTTTCTAGAACTACCACTTACCGATACATATGAGATTTTATGTTTCGATCCGTGAAAATGTTTATGTGATTTTGTCTAAATTAGAAGACTTTGTTTGTTTGCAGAATATTTTCTTTGATTCAAAGAAGATTTTAATGTGATTTATGTTTTATGAACGAAAAAACGTAAATTTCTAAGCACCGTATGCAACCAAATTCATCAATAATTAGGCGTAAAATTGAAAATTAATTGAATTATTTGATAAAGTCCGTTAGTCTCTTAAATGAATTTTGTGGACAGACTTTTTTCCCTGTCCTGACTTGTGCGTATGTAAGATGGAATGAATTGTCAGTTTTCACAGCATAATACTTTAATTTGTCTAGAATTTTGTTGATTTCCCTATATTTCGTGCTGATCAATTATTCATAATTCGTTATTTCAAATCGAGCCAACATTAGATGGAAAAAGTAGTTAGTTGTTGCTCAACTGTCAATTCTTATTCTTTTTGTGGAAAAATTTAGTTTCTGGTCTTTTACGAACTGCTTCTGGCAAAGCGAGACTACTGATTTCTGAGAAGTTTTGTCAATTTCGTGCCTTATGCCATCAAAACCTTGCCTGGGAGAATTCAAAAACAGTTGGGGTTGACAACAATTTCGTAAATGAGCCTAATACATTAATCACTTTGGTTAGTGATTTGGATGGTTTCTGGGCTATGGTATCACTTCAAGTAGATGACATTCGTGGTTTATTCAAACAAGTGGATTCTTTACGGGCTAACAATTGGCAACCGGTTGATAACTCACTATCTGCTACGCAAAATATCTCAGTAGGTGACTCCATTTCATCAGAGAAACGAAAGGTATTATTTGCAAGCTTTTATTTAATGATTTTTGTTACAACAGGCTTATTTCTATGTATGACTGACTGTGAACTGTGAAAGTTGGTTAAATTCTTCTATGTGCTTAGACTATTTTGGTAATGTGTTCGAATTAATTCTTTATGTTAAAAATGGAATTTATGACTAAGCACTCGCTTACACCATTTTCTATTGAGTTCAGAATCTTACAAATTAATTAGGCTTAGCCATTGATAAGTACGGAAAATAGCAGACTTGTTCAGTATTTTAGATTTATATAAAAACTCATTCGATACTTGAGTTGTATAATATCAGAAATATGTATATATAATTTGATATGACGAGGTAAGAATGACACCTTAAATCTAGGCGTTAATTCTGTTGGAGAGTGGATGACCTATAGTTGTTTGTTCAACTACCTCTAATCATGTTTATTCTTGTGCTAACTATTTTGTAAATGAAATTGCTATTCTGTCGAAAGATAAACTTCATTCGCGTGAGCAGCCATCATTCGGTCATGTTTTATTATTATTATTATCAGCTTTATTCGATATTATATTTTTGATACAATATAGAATTCTCAGCGTAAAGTATTTCAACAAGTTTCCGTTTCTTTCTTCTTGGTCGGTCCTGGCGATAAATATTGAGTGATCGCCAGTTAGATGTTGGCAGTTCAGTAAATGAACATCTGAATAATGTGCATTCTTTTCGTTGTACATTGCCAGCAGCCACATTGTCTCTTATTGAGTTTTTTGTAACTTTGACAACGAAAGGTTGTACACTTTTCAGAAACGCAGCAGAATAGGTTATGCGTTTAATAAACATAGTGATATATCGAAACAAACAAAAATCTATAACTTGTTGAAATATCTAGATGGCAGGAACAGGTAGCCCAGATGATCAAGCAGCATGTCATCTATAAATTAGCATTATATCCTTTCATTTTAACTGACGAAAATCCGTTCATAGAACGATTAAATTCTACTTCATAGTGAAATATGGTCAACTAGTTCTTAGTTTAGACTTATTGTATTTTATGCTGGAAACGGATGGAAGATGAAACGTTATTAAAATTGCAGCGATAAATAAACAGATCAAATTAATAAAACATTACAACAATAAACAACCACACTCCCGAATCAGAAAAGAATAGTCTTAACAACTGAGGCTTTTATACCTTTTAGAAAAGCAATGATAACTGTTACAACATTGTTTACATAACCTTGTCAAGATAATAATAAAATAGTATTGTAAAATGTGTCAGTTTAATTCAAATAAGTAAGTCCTATAAGACATCAAAGATAAGAGGCCTTTAGAGGGTTCCCAGTCACTTTGTTATTTGCTTATGAAATGCAAATATCTAGATAATATTGACCTGCAACAGGCTGGAAAACTTATCCTAATTTCTCTCCATATATATATATATTGTTAATCAGAAATGCTTTATTTTTTTATTTTCAATACTACTTACCATTACGTAATATATCCTAAACATTTATAATTATTCATATAGTTTACAAATTCTCTCATTGCGACTGACTTGATATTCTGTATTTTATTGTTTTTCTTTCAGTTAAATCGTAAAGTTACTAAATCCACTGTAGCTAAACAAAACAATATGGTTGCTAGACAACAGGCTCGTGAACGTCTTGAACTCGCTAAACGTAATATGCAGTTAAAGAATTTGAATAATTCACATGATGATAAGTCAACATTAAGTATCACTGAAAATAAGCTTATATTTGTATAGAATTTTTATAAGATGTATATCCTTTATTTCAATATTTGTAAACTAATTTTTTTCTAAAGAAATACAGCAACAATTAAAATGAAATTGAAGTTATTTTACTGCAATATAAGTTACGGATTTCGTTGCATTGTTTAAAGTATTATGGTTTTCTTTTTCGAGCATTATCTCCCGCTTTTTTTCAACGAATCCCTCTATATATATACTTTACATGTATTTATGTTCTTTTCATTTCCCTAGTTCCCTTATTTATTTATGTTAAAGATATGAATTAAATAATCAGTAGTGAAACAAACTTGTTAATTAAACAAACAAATTCATTTGCTATTCACCTATATTCTAGAAGCAGCTTTATATCTCGTTTCCTATCCTGTCGTGTTCGTTATATGAGATTGCCCTTCATTATTTTTGATTGTTCTAATTGTTGAACATGATTAGTCTCATGCAATTGTTCATTGTATATTCAAAGTTTGTTTTACAAAATAATCTTGCCAGTTTTCACCACTTATTGATTACTTCCAGATGGAACAAGAACAAATAAACATTAAAGCATTTTAACACTTGTATTCAGGATCTGTTTTTTATACTAAGCAAAACTTTTTTCATATTTTATACGTTTTTTTAAATTATCCCTATGTTTGATAAATAGGTGTGTATAAAGAATATTATTAATGTTATTATTACTATATGCCTATGTCTTATCCTCAATTGCCGACAGGCTTGTCTATTGTTGAGCTGAGTTGGTTTTTACAGTTGAAATCGGTCAGTCAAACTGTTAAGAGAGAAATTTGCTTAGAGAGCCATTTATGCAAGCAGTTGAAATAACGTGCTACAAAAAACTGTTGACCAAATTTATAACTCGTTCTTTGCTGTGATTCATATGAAATGTTGAAAATTAAACACAGGCTAAAGGATATTTTTATTAATATTTGTCTTCTTAACTGTAAATCCAACTTTGGTGTGGTGGTGTTGGGCTTGACCTAGTAATGAACTCAGTAGAGCTGTAACGTACATATTCATGGTTAGCTTTTCAGGGAAATAAGTTTAGGCTCTACATATATATTTTAATATGTCTTTATTGATCATATTCCATATTACTTGTCTAAGCTATTTGGACGTGTGTAGAAATTCACATGACTCGCGTTTTTAAAGTTTTGTAATGTCTTGATAAGGCAGTGCAAATTTGATGACTATTCAGATTAGGGAAGATCACGTATGTAAAAAGTCATATAAATGAGTTTCCAATGCGTGTTTTAAATGTGCCGGAATAGGACTAGAATATTATAATTTTGGTTTAATACAATACAATCAAAGGAACTATTTCAGAATCGTGATTATATATGGCAGAATGTATTCTGTATCTGCGAAAAAATGTGTCTTCCTATGAAGGAAAGTCCTAGGTAGGTTCATAGATTATTAAGAAAACGTTAGGTTGATTGAAAGCAATCGTAACTAAGCTATTGTGCTTCACTAGTTTAATTCAGTAATTACACTACACGCTTCCTAAAACCTAATTCATTCAGAGAGAAGACTAAAGGTGGATAAAAAGCCCTGTTACCAAAACTGAGTAAATACGTATGTGAGTCATGAATATATATAAATAATACTGAAGTAATTCAGACTAAGATATGTGAACAGTGCCCTTGACCAGATAAATCAACTTCTCATTCACAGTAAATCTTTCCATACATGTACTTCTCGCTTACCATGTGTGCTTGTGATAACCCGACCTGTCTGGCCTTAGAAGGATATACAACCTGTTTTTACTCTCAGGTTATCACCTCCTCCTGAATTCCCTTTTTGCATGCACTTGTACAAGTTTATATAAAGGAAAATTAGGTCTTGACGTACATTCCACGCTAGTTACCAGCAATTTTGAGCAAATTATTGCTCCCCTTAATAGTCAAAGATGTTATCACAGCTATTCAAGTAGGAAATGACCTATATGTCTGTGATATCTACTCAACAGATGATCACTTAACAGCAACCAATATCATACTGTCTAATTCTGAGTGCTGATTATATTCTATTGATTAAGTTGGTGTTCTCTTCTAATCACTTAAGCATTGAAACAACGCGCCACATTATCGAGTCATTCAAATTGGTGTCTACTGTGATCATATTATAGATGAAAGAGAGGGATTATTTCGTAATTGCAGGATAAAAATGTATGCATTATTGCATAAACTTCAAAGAAATATAATTTGCTTGTACATTGGATATCGCATTTAGTTACGTAGACTGACAAGGTATTTATGACGTCGTGTTTTATAATTGCTTGTCATTGTTACTTACGAACAGTTACCTCGTGTTCATCAGAATCAACACTAGTTTTTAACTTAACCGGTTGAAATTTGAAGTGATTGTCAATGTTCACATAAAATGAAAGCCTAGAGATTTAAAAAGAGGTAGTGTAATACATTTTCAGTAGACATTTTGAGTTATGTGAGTAAAAAGCTCATATTAGAGATTTAAATTGGATAGTGAAAGGGTTATCCGACACATTTCCACTTTATATGTATATTCAACAGTTCCGGGTATTTACCGTACGTTTAGTGAAAGTTGTCATACACAATAGATTGTAACTCTCACCAAAGAATTCATTTCAAGTATCTTCAGTTATCTACAACTACCTGCTATGAATATATTTGTTAAATAAAGAAGTAACAAATTGAGCGAAGAAATTTCTTTTCAATTAGTTTTTCATCATGGCTCTACACTAATATATATACGTTTTACAATAATAATATAATACTCATCGAGTAGATATGTTACGTAATAATTACATAATAACATTTAAATTAACATTGATTAATTGGAAGAAAGAGGATTATTAATATTCAAAGTGATCAAGAAGTTGCTACGTTGCGTAATGTAAGAAAAAAGAAGGAACAGAATTTTAACGGATGGTCAATAGGATGGTAGTTACGTAAGAATCAAGAGATGAATGTTGAGAAGTTATTAAGTTCAAAGCAACAGAAACAAAATTACAAAAGTTTTAAAAAAAACCAAGTGGAAGAATTATAAACAATAGTTCTTTTTGTGCAAGTCGAAAAACAAATGTATAGGGATTTTGAGCCTGAAATGAAATTTCTGACAGAAATTGCACTGAAATTATCAACCGACATTAGTTGGACAACCATTGTAAGCAGTAGACGGCCACTTCGTCCGGTGTGGGGCTGATTAAAGTTAAGCATGTAAACCGTTGGATTCCGGTTTAGTGATCTGGAGTCGAAGTATTTACGCCTCAGACTGGAGGTCCTGAGTTTGATTTCGAGCAGCACAGTGGTGAATGCACACTTCTGAGCAGCCCCAGTGCTTCCAAGTTTCCAGTGATTGTTTAACTTAAATGAGTTTGTGTTATGAATTTAAGTTGTGGTCGACTTTTACCCTGTGCTAATTGTTGTGTCCTTGACTGGAAAATTAGAGAGCAGCGCACTTATCGATCGATTCAATGACACATAAACACGTACGGACGGCCTAGAGTCTCGATTGGTCTCACTTCCCTGTCTAGCCCAGTCAGTTGAGTCCAGAACACAAGTCACAGCCTCGGAGATATGAATCATTATATTTCAAACATACTTTGTTTATATACCAATCAAGCATACCACATCGTACCATAAAATAGAAAACAACATTTTGTACAATATTCAACAAGTGAACAGATACCGACCAATAGGAAATGTCCATTTAAAGTCCAAGGACACCACTGGACTTAACATGATAATTATTGGTCTATTCCTCTGCATCCACAACAGTTTGTAATTTAAATGAAACTCAACTCTCTACTGAGAAATCACACTATAATATGTGGTACCTATTACTTACTTACGCCTGTTACTCCTCGTGAAGGAGCATAGGCCACTCACCAGCATTCTCCATCCAACCCTGTCCTGGGCAATCCTTTCCAGCTCCGTCCAGTTGTAATTCATCCTTTTCATATCTGCTTCTATTATCCGACGCAATGTGTTCTTTGGCCTTCCTCTTTTTCGCTTCCCTTCAGGGTTCCAAGTTAGGGCTTGCCTCGTGATGCAGTTTGACGGTTTGCGTAATGTATGTCCTATCCATTTCCATCGTCTTTTCCTAATTTCTTCTTCAGCTGGAAGTTGCTTTGTTCTCTCCCACAGAAGGCTATTGCTGATGGTATCCGGCCAGTGGATGTTGAGTATCTTGCGTAGGCAGCTATTTATAAATACTTGTACCTTCTTGATGGTGGTTGTTGTAGTTCTCCAAGTTTCAGCTCCATACAGTAGAACTGCCTTGACGTTCGTATTGAAGATTCTCACTTTGATGTGGTACCTATGGCACAAGATAAAAATGGGCTTCTAATTGAAATATTTCTGTTTTCATGACTTTGGTAAACGATTTTCTTGCGGTAAGATGTGTATCATTATACAACGGTGTCCCGAGTCATTAATGTAGTAAAGAAACAGTTTTTTGTAAATTAAAACTATTCGATCATACGAAATGAGATTCATAGTTAGTTCGAATAAATTTTACAGAGTCCTTGCAAAAATGCAACAAGGGCTAACACAAGTCAGCTGACCTACCAGCTTTTTTACTTAAAGTTTTATGTTGAAGAAACAAAACGTGGAATTAGTAGGCATGACACTAACTTCTAATATGGTAACGACTGTTATAACCAATAATAACACAATTCTCTTCATCCAAGAGTCTATCTCAACCATTAATTTCTCCATAACTTTGAGGATCAGACTAACGAATGAAGCTGTTTTTGACTGCATATTTATAGGAAGGTTTGTAACTAAAAATGATGAAACTCAACTTTAACCCGTTAGAAGAATTTAAAAACACTAAACGTCCACGCGAAAGACAGATTTTAATTGCCATTATTCACAAAATTATCTCTTCAATAATGTCGTTTAACGACATGTGAAGTTAGTTGCTAAGATACGAGTGTTGACACAATCGATATCGTAAAAACTAAAGTTTAAGTGCGTATACTCACTCTAGTGATTATTTTTAATAAATTCAACAAATGTCTCGACATTAAATGGTAGACACGGAAATACTCTTAGCTGAAATTTAATCTATATCAGCATTCACACATTAGATGACTAGTAAAACTCCTGAAGGTGGAGTATACAACAGATTACTTCAAGCATTGAAAATATGATACATAACCTCAGATCAAATATAATTCAAACAATAGGAGGTAAGATGAACTCATTTTACTTTATCTGCTCAAGAAAACAAGTTGAGTGAAGAAATATTTCCTTTTAATTATTTCCTTATCAAGGCTCTACACTAATATATATGCTTTATAAGTAAGAAGATAGTCAATACCAATTAGATGGTGGTCACTTAAGACAATGGAGGACAGTCGCACAATATTGTGGATTGGTTGAATTTGACATTAACACAGTCGGATGCTGGCTCAGCGGTCTAGAGCTTAAGTGTTCGCGCACGAGACCGATAGGTCCTGGGCTCGCGGCCTGCATATGTGATCGTGGATGTGCACTGCCGAGGAGTCCCAAGCTAGGACAGAACAGCCGTCCAATGCTTCCAGGTTTTCAATGGTGGTCTAGCATTGATCCATTCATCATATCAATCTGAGCTCAACAATCCCCACAACCCTTTACTGAAAATAATAATAACTGACTCATCACCATCTAGTTGGTATAGACTTTCTTCTCACTTATAAAGCATATATATATAAATATATATATTAGTGTAGAGCCTTGATGAAGAACTAATTAAAAGGAAATATTTCTTCGCTTAACTTATCTTTTAAATGTCTCAATGGAAATATTTATTTGTTTAACTGTTAAAAAACTAACACATTTTTCACATCTTAAGATTTCCATACCAATTTTTGAAAAGAGAATTTTGATAAAGCTAAAAATATAGGGTTATTTAAAGAATGTGTGTAATAACGACATTAAATCTACATTAAAGAATAGAGATAAGTTATCCAAAACATAATTTAATTGATTACGCAATCATGTGGTCTTGCATATGAATTAAATCTATAAGTACATCAAACAGTTATATGAAACATTGATTATATGGTAAAATTAAGACCACATTAATACTAATACCAAGGTTGGAGTAATCAGGATACT